ATCGATGGCATGTCCAGTAGTGGTGCAGCCACCGCTGCTATTCTCAATTTGCTGCCATAGCTTGGGGAATGGAGGGTGCGTGATCAGATGAGGAAGTGGGAGATGAAGACTCACCCCTGGCGGCGCATTGATACGAGGTTGCGGATGGTTTCGATTCCAGCCGTACACAACAAACTGCCCCGTGGATGTCAGTTACACATATCGGTACCTTTGTATTTGGTGTCCTGTGTTTCCCAACACCCCCAAACGGAGGAGTGGAGCCTGAGCCCATAGCAAATCGTGCTTGGGTGTGCCTGATGCCGTTAATGAAGTTCGTTAGGCTTGCAGGGGCCTTTGTTCAGGGGATAGCCCCTTTCCGTCTTGGTTCATGGTTTCGGAGGGTCATGTAATGTGAGGAGTTCAGGAGGTCGGAAACTTTCGTACTGTTGTAATGTAACAGATGAGCTGTATGTACGTATGTATGTATGTGGCGTATTGATGTGTGTCCATGTTTGCAGGTTCACACTGAAGCGCTGCTTGGTGACCTCTCAAATGCCACCTCGCGAATCCACAAAATGAACGAGCTTCAAGCGCGCTGAAGCACTCCACGACAGGGTTCTTCACCAGGGTACCCAAAAATTTCGGCCGTGTCCGAAACCCTCTGAATAACCTTTCGGGGCCCTCCCCGAAAATTTTCCTGTCAGCCGGAGAGTGTTTTCGGGTACCCCGAAACTGTCTGAAGCGGTTTTCGGGGTAAAATTTAGCTGGATTCTATCGTTATATGCTAGGACGGCTGAATTAACAGGTGTTTGACTTTATTTTGGAACATAGCTCTTAGGATTTTACCCAAAGCAAGGCTATCTTAGACTTCATAACTGAAAACTCTTTCTGCAAAACGTCAAGTTCGCTGACATCGAAGGCAAACAGGCGGTTCGAGCTTGCCGAAGCCGCGAATCCCGAGGGAGATGCGGGGCACCTTGGTTGGGCGCTCATCATCAGTTGACTCGGGCATGTTTAACTATGCTTAGATGTATGAAAATGTGGGATATGGATATGCTTAGATGTATGAAAATGTGGCATATGGATATGCTTAGATGTATGCAGCCGCGAAACAGCCGCAATGCACATTTGTACTCATTGTTTGGCTGGTGACCAAGCGGGCCTTATACGGCAAGCCTGGTTTCCAGGCCCCGTCTGCGCCCGAAAACATGCAAATTTACGCTGACATATCGTTCGGTATTCTCCAAAAATGCCTTCAAAAGGCTTCGGTGGGGTCCCCGAAAAAATGCTCTAAAAGGCCCAAAATCCGTTCGGAATGCTCCGGGCCGCACTAATTTTCCTTTCGGGCAAAACGGAAATATCTCAAAAAAGTTCGGGCCCGAATCGGGGTGAAGAACCCTGCTCCACGAGGCCTTATGAAGGGGCGTATGTGTCTTGAAAGAACTGGAAGGAATAATAATCCTTTTTATATTGTGGTGGTGCTGGTGGTGATTCCGAGAGCACACGGATGAGTTGTCAGAGCGAGGCTTCGGTCGCAGCCGCCAGCTTGGAGCGAGGACATTTTTTGCGCACAACCCGAGTTTGGTCCGAAGTGCAGCCCAAGATAGCGGGCGCGCGTTTTCCACGTGACCGGCCAGAACATCGGCAGNCCTTTCTCAAGCACGCGCAGGGTGAGGTCATATGCGCTGAGAGCATAAACCTGGCTTCTAACCTGTACATTGGGATGTAAAAACAACAGCTTACACTTTCGGGCATTCACAGTAACACCGAAAACCCCCGTCATAGGCCTCACGCGCTCGGAATTCCGGAATTTGACCCCCATGAATTCGCAAGCAAATCCGGGTCAAATCCCATCGGGATTTGAGGATTTGACCCCCAAAACAATAAGCAATATAATGGTCATGCAAAGATTTCCTCGGGCCTGGAATTTGACGCATTTGAGGATTTGAACCCCCCAAAACAATTATCATGGCCATGCAAACAATTCCATGCGCAGCCGTTACAATATATTGCATATCTTCGAGCGGCATGTTATGCTCGTGCCAGTCAGTCCTCGCGCCGCATGCCTTCAAACATTTAGTTAGACTTTTACTATTAGAGTTATTCCTCCAAAGCCGGCGCTCGCCGCAAAGAGCGATGTCAGACAGCGGCGATGGACGGGCCAACAAGCGCCGAAAGGCTCAACCAGGCACCCTAGATGAACTGAACCGGCACGTGCAACAATTAGGAAAGAAAACGAATACGAACTGAACGTTTTCTTCATATGGGATAACAATTTCACTCGCAAGGGTCGCGGACAGCATCCCCGCGATTGAGAGGCAGCTAGGCGTCACATTCTCTACTCAGGATGTCTCAGACATGCGCGTGAGTTATCAATAAAGTTAACCCCTAGTATGTTGTGGTGGAATGGTCGCTTTACCCTGTTGGTGCTCGTACGAGTGCCCCACCTATCGTTCTGCAAGTTGTTCCACACGTGCTAAAACTAGCATACGGGAAGCAGGACGCCACAGGGCGTCGTCGGGGCAGAGAGAAACCCACGGGTCGGCAACGAATATACAGTTCGAACGCATGCGCATGCACATGCACACACGCAGCTGCAGCTGCGTGCGCACAAACTCTCACTTGCGCGCCACAGGGTGGTGTGGCTCAAAACAACTTACACCACCACAAGTGGGAGAAGACAAAACACATGCATTCCTACCCACAAAAATGCGCGTCCTCCACAATAGCT